TCTCATCGGCTATCAGATGTCCAGTCTTATCAGCAACTCTCATGATGCAACTCTGATGGACTTCTGCTAAGAGAACTCTGATGGGGCAGTTCTCATAGAGCAAGTCTGGTCGAGCAGTTCTGATGCACTTCTGATCTGATCCAAAATAGAGCAACTCTGATCGTCGACTACACTAATACTTACAATTGAAAAGTTTAATACATGAAATCTAATTTGGGGGTACTCTAACTTTCTAATCCTATAGCATCATCAAAATCTAATTACATTTATTCCTTACAACGTTGACCGAACTCCCCGTGTCGACATAAGTCCGGTGGATGATGGCGTCATTGATCTCAGTGCGGATGACGAGGGCATCCCTATGCGGCAGAGAACCCGAGGGGAGGTCCGCATCTGTGAAGAAAATTGGATCCGCCTTCGGCCGTTTAGTTGGGGGCATGTGATTGACTTCCCCAATGTAAAGGGACTGTGCCCACTTCTTCCGTTGGCTGGTGGAGTCTCCACCGGTGTTGCCGCCGTTAATCATGTGAATGTGGCGCTTGTATTGCTGATGGGAGCCTTCTCCCTCGTCCTCGAGGCCCCCAATTTCACGCTTCTTCCCCTGTGGGTTTCCCAAAGGGATGGTGTTGGGATTCACCCATTTGTTTGCCTTCGGCGGAGGCCCTTGATGGTGAAGGAGGCCCTGGGGAGGAGGGCCCCTGATAAACTGAGACAAGTGGCCCGCCTGTATCAGCCTCTCAATTGCGTTTTTCAGTTGGTGGCAGTCGTCGGTCTTGTGCCCGTGGTGGCGGTGAAAGCGGCAGTAGGGCTCATCAGGACCGATGGCATAAATCTCGATGGGTGTGCGGGAGTCTCGCTCAATGAGCCCCCGCTCTTCCGCATGATCAAGAATGACGCTGACGGGGTGCGTCAGGGGAGTGCGTGGGTGCTCCAGGAGGACGGGTTGTGCCCAAGCCTTCGGATTGTTCTTGTAACCGCCCCCGGGTCTGGCTTGGCCACCCCGGGAGCGATCGTTGTACTGTGCCTCTCGGTGGACCGGAGGGGGAGGCCCTCCGGGCCGGTTCCTGCCTTCATTCTTCTGAGAAGGATCCGTGTTGCGGCGGTCCTTCTCGATTTCCTCCGCTTCAGCGTATCGGTCCCCCCGCTGAAGGGCCTTTGTATAATCGCGGGGGGGATCAGTGATAAGGCTCCGGGAGAAGTTACCATTGCGGAGGACGGTGTGGAAGAGGGCCATCAGGGTCCTGTCATCGGCGCCTTCGACCTCGAGGGAGGCCTGCCTCCAGCGTTCCAGGAAACTCCGAAGGGTTTCCTCCTTCTGTTGTCTCACATTCAGAAGGTGGGAGAAGTGTTTCTTTGAGCGGTGCCTCCCGGCAAACTGCGTAAGGAAGCGGTGGGCAAGTTCTTGCCAAGAATCAATGCTGCCTTCGGGCAACCGGTTGAACCACTCATACGCTGGTCCCTCCAAGGTGGAAAGGAACCAACGGCATAAGTATTCATCCGATGCCCCCATCATCATCATGCTGTTTTGATAACGGCTATAGTGCTCCTGGGGATCCGTCTTCCCCTCATATGGTTTGATAGGTTGCCCCCGATATTTGTGGGGGATTTTGGCCGCCAACACCCTTGGGGTGAAAGGCGTCCTAGTGCGGAGCTGAATGAGGGGCTCGCCTGAGCCTTCGGCAAGTTTACGTTTCATTTCCTCCACCTGTGCCCGGAGGTCAGCGTACTCCGGATCTGGCCTCGCTGTGGAAGCCGTCGGGGGTGCCTGACGATTCTCCTCGAGTTGACGGAGGAGGGCTTCAATGATTTCGTCCTTGGGATCCTTCGGGGCAACCCCTTGGGAGTTGGCCCGGAAGGATTGCGCCTGATTGATCTGGTGCCTGGCGTCATCGGCATGGAGGGGGGCTTTGCCTTTGCTTCGTGGGGGAGGCACGCCCTCGGCGCCCGAAGCAGAGGCTCCACTCTCCTGGGGCCTGCTGAATGCTTGTTTCCCGAGGCGGTCTTGGACCCCTCGGTGCCCGGGAGCTCCCCCAAGCCTCTCAAGTACAGAGGTTCGGGGTTTCTCTTTCATCATGGGGCGCTTGTCCCTGGATTGGGCCTCTTGGGAGGCGGTATCCTGCGCCATGACCCCCTCGGCGTTTCCAATCCCCGGGGGAGGATTGTTGAACAGAGGGGGGAGCGGTGGCAATTGAATAACATTTCCTCCAGCGTAGGGCTGGAGGGGTGTCCGAGAGGCGAGGGCTCCGGAATTGAGAGCCATGTTTTGAACAAAGGCTGCAAAGGCAGCCTGAAGATCGATGGCCGGGGCCGGAGGGGGAACTTGGTTCTCACTCCGATCCCTCCTTCGATTATCAAGGCCAATGCGGGCATCAGGGGCGTCCTTCTGTAGTTGCTAACGGAGGTCAGCAGTAGCCTGCTCCAACTCAAGGATGATACCACCCTCGGGTACTAAGAGCCTGTTGGAGGCCTCAGCCCCGTTGGTTTCGCCGGGGGCTATGTGGTTCTCCTCAAGGGTTTTGGACTGGGCACGGGTGGTTCTTCCCATTTTTGGTAAGTATTTTGTGTTTGGTAGAGGGGGAGGGTTTCTTACTTGATTGTTCTGACCTCTCAACGAGAGCACCAAATGATGGACAGTCTACCCGGGGGGTATCTTATCCGAGGGGTTATTACGGGAATAACTTAGAGAGAAGTCAGAGCAAATAGGAGGAGAGAGAGTCGATTTTATTAAATGAACTTGAGATGTGGAGTTGAGATGTAGATTGTGTCCATTACAAGGAGAAATGGGCTGCTATTTATAGCAGCAATAAATGCGATGAGAGGACACGTGTCAGTAATCCAACGGCCGAAGGGTCACATCAACCGGTTGGCACCGGCAGTGGTACGTTTACCGCATTGAATGCGGTTGGTGGATGTGACGTGGTATTAAATGCGGTGGTTGGCTGTCTCTAGAAGGGATCTCCGATGATTGAGTGTGCTTGGCCGAGGGCTCCTTGTGCTGCCGAGGGCTCTGTGTGACCGGAGGCATGGTTTAGCCGGGGGCTTCTCTGATGCCGAGGGCTCGATAGAACCGAAGGCTCATGTTTTTCGCCGTTTTCTCCCAGTAGCCTTTTATGCCAGAGAAGGCTACCCTGTGAGGTTTGGGGCCTTCGGCCAAGGAGGCCGAAGGCACCCCAATGCGTATTATGGGCCACATTGAGGCTTGGGCCGCTGCATTTTGGGCCTGAGTTGTTCTCTGAGCTCAATGAACTTGTGTAGGAGAAGTAGGAGTCTATGGGCCGGGGGTTCCTGGGCCATATACTCCATCAGATAATTTGTGTGGCTCACATTTATTTTATCTTTTTCTCACACAACCACAACCACACATTTCCACTTTATTCCACTTTCTTAATAGGCGTGCCAATTCAAACCGGGAAGAATTTTTAGGAACGAGGAAGTAATAATTAAAAAAAAAATGAGATATCATTCTGTAATACTTTGTAGCTAATACCGTAAGATATGTTAGTTTAAGCTCATACTTTTTATATATTATGAGAAAATTAATGTGGTTGTACGTTATGTTGATCAACTATTTGCATAGTATTCCAAATATATAACCAAAACATCTAGCATACATAGTTTATGCATAAATACAAGACTAAATATGTTTTAATCCCAAAATAAGACTTATCTAGTGCTATTCAACGAATAACATGAACAAAGCTTCTCAAAATTGAAGTGAATGAATCTTATTTTGAGAATAAAAATTGACTGTCACTTTATACATGTTTTAATCCAATTTTGGAATTTTCTCGAACAATATTTCAAAGAAAAATTAATAAGGACTATAAAACATTGATTTTGTAATCTTAGCTTACGGTCACACAAGACACCGATACAACATTAGATTTCCATAAGTATATTTTCTTCGGCTATTAAAAACATAAAAAATTAACAATTTCCATGGAGTCATATTTAAATATCTCATTCCTTTTCATTTCACTCTTGGCATTTTGAATTCCTTCTCTCACCAAATTACCAATATCTCATTCATTTCCATTTCACTCTTGGCATTTTGAATAAAGAAATTATCCCAAATAGGATTAAAACAATAGGAAAATTTCAAAACAGGAGTCTTAGTTTCTATGTTCTCTAAATAGGAGTTAATTAGTTGTTCGGCCGTTTCATTTTTCCACTTTTAGTCCTCCGACTATTATGTCATTGACGTTTTTGGTACTCGACTTTGATTTTTTCCACTTTTAGTCCTTGACTATTGCGCTAGAGACACTTCTGGTACCCATCTTTGAAAATTTCCATATTTAGTCTTTCAACTTTCATAAAAGTGACACATTTGGTCCTTCAACTATTATAATAGTTACTTTTTTAGTCCTTCACTTATTGTTTCAAATTTATAATGGAAGGACTAAAAGTGTCAATTTGACAATACTCAGGGACTAAATGTGAGAAACCTTGAAGTCAGGGACTAAAAGTGTCTCTAGCACAATAGTCAAGGACTAAAAATGGAACAATTAGAAGTCGAGTACCAAAAGTGTCCTTGACATAATAGTCAAGGGACCAAAAATGGCAAAAACTCTATTATCCTGAATAACCACTCCCCCTCTCTGATCTCCCTCTATCTTATCCTTCACACTTATCATCGTAGCTTTTCCACCGACTCACTCCTTCATCTTTATCCCCTGCATCTTTAATTTGATTTCTCAAATTCTCTGACGGTGAAAGGCGGCGATTCGATGGAGGGTGCCGGCGAAGTGCGGTATAATTATTGCTTACGGATGGAGATAGGTAAGTATTGATTTCTCCTTCTTCTCCTTCTTCTTTGTTGGGATATATTATCCCGGCCTATTACTGTTCAGGGGCCCAAGACATTATCCAGTACGGAGCCCGAGCAGCTAGGCCCATTAGGCCCGATATTGGCCTGTTTGGCCCATTAGGGTGGAGAGCACCCTTTCCCTTTGTCTATAAATAGGGAGCTTAGCCTCCATATTATGGATCCCTTTTTGATCCTTTTCTTCTTCCTCCTTCTCACTAGAATAGCTTAGAACTCCATTAATGGGAGCTTCAATACTTGTACTATGTAATGGTGAGGAGAGTCTAATGAGAATTGAGAGGGCTTGGACATTAGCCTAAAAAGTCCCGTGGTTTTCTCCCTTTCGGGTTTCCACGTAAAAACTGAGCTTGTTCATACACATTTATACATATATTTACTATATCGTGTTGGATTAAACTCAACACTGGCGCCGTCTGTGGGAATCTGTCCAAAAAGATTCACGTTGTTCTTCAGTTTCTACAACAAAATTCATTCGAAAATGGACTGATTTTAGCAAAGGAAGAAGAAGTTCTGAAATTTTGGTCTTGGGAAGCTCTAGCAGCACCGGCCCAACTGACCGAGGAGGAAGGGAGAAAGAAAGAAGAAAAATTTTGGGAGGCAAAGAAGCTGCGAAATCTCGGAATCCACATATGGATTTTCTCAGATCTTGTTTGGGGCTGCCGGAGCCACCGTACCCGCCGCCGTGAAATCCCCGGTGGATTTACCCACACCAGACGAAGCTCGCGGCAGCACCCCAGGTCGGGTCATCCTCGCCTCTAGGGGAGCTCCGTCTGCAAACGGGCGCTCATCGCTGGCAGCTGGTTCTACGACCTGAATCGCCACCTACGCCGCTCGTTTTCGCCGTCCCACCAAGAGGCCTTAACGAATTTCAGCCTGTCTTGCTCCAGAGGACTGGCCTTGCCGGGGACCTTTTGCTCCGCTGCAGTTTACTTCCGTCCCTAAGCGGATGTACTGCCTGTTGGGGTTGGGGGGGTTGTTTCCATCTGCCTCCTGGAAAGATTCTTTTTGTTCGGTTGAGAGTCAACCACGTCCGAAGGACCCAAATGAGATTGCAGTAAAATTGGGTGGAGCACCTTGCATGACTTCGGAAGTCAACGGTTGATGATGACTTGTGCCAGCTGCTATAACTTTGGCCAAGCTACTCGAGGAGCAAGGCTCCAATTCGTAGATGAGCCAATTATTTCACCCATCTCAAAAGAGCCAAGTATCATACGTACCCCTCTTTTATTATCTAAGTATTAATAATGAAGCTTGATTACTATTGCTAGTTTTTATCACCATTATTTAATAGGGGGCAAGTATCCCGAAATTAAATAATGTCGAGTAAAGCTCAAATGAGAAAAACTCTAGTGATAATCATTTTCACCGTCATTTTTATAAATGACTGGGTGTTGTGGGCCCATCGGCCCACTCCTGATCGGCTTTAATTAGCGAACGGAATATACTTGAATGGCCTTTGATAGGAAAGTATCATTGCTATTACCTGTTATATCACTATTATTTATTAGGGATAGAATGTCCCGAATTAAATAATGTGGAGCGAAGCTCTAGTGATGGTTGGTTCAGCCAACATTTTATTGAATATTTAATTTCTTGTGGGCCCGTTAGCCCACTCTCGATCAGCTTGATTGAGCGATCCGAGCGTCTCCAGTAGGGCGATGCCCCGACGACGCATTTTAATTTGAGGGTTGCGCATTAGTCCGCATGGCACTACGTGCCCGATCGACGATCATACCCCAATGTAAGAAAGACAATTTTTGGTTCGCGAAGTGACTATTGCCGAACGTGGCCTATGGGGCCCGGGGGCACCGAAGCACTCAACCTCGTTTTTCCGAGGGCAGTGTGACCAACTTGGGTCTGAGTTGAAAACTCACAGACCGATGAATATCTCTATGTGACGTTCGGCGGGCTGCTAATTGGCCCCGCCGCGAGCTGCTACGTCCATTAACCCCGCACGGTGAGCCGGGCCGAGGGTCACGATGACCCATAGGCCGGTAATCGTGGGTGTTAGAGAGAAGGCCATGCAGATGGTTATGTGTGCATATTTATTGTCGGGCCGTGCGGCCCGTTATCATGCTTATTGCGCAGCTGAAGCCACTCGACGTGCTCGAGCGAAATGATTAAAAGACGCTCGGCCCGAATCTTGAAGACGTTCAGGGCCAGCTAAAGAGGAGACCATCACGGCTGAGGACCGTGAAACGAGCATCTCCACCCCAGAGACCGATGGCCTAGGAAGAACACCTAGGGGCCGAGGGTCTGGAGGGAACTGCCACGGCGAAGAACCATGAGACGATCATCCATCATCCAGAGGCCGAGGGCCAAGAGGAAACCATCACGGCTGAGAGCCGTGATACGAGCATCTCCACCCCAGGAGCCGGTGGCCTAGAGGAGACCACTACGGCCGAGGGTCGTGGGACCATCCTTACATCACGACCGACCTCACGGTACGGCGTGTTTATCACCTGAAGACCGGTATCATCCCCGCGCTGCGTGGATGAGAGCCGTTGCACGGATACACTTGATCGGCTTCTCATGGCCGACATCATTATATCACGACCGGCCTCTCGGCACGGCGTGTTCATCTTTTGAAGACCGGCCTCGTCCCCGCACTGCGCGGATGAGGACCGTTGCTTGATTTCAGATCGGCCCCTCATGGCCGACATCATTATATCACGACCGGCCTCTCGGCACGGCGTGTTCATCTTTTGAAGATCGGCCTCGTCCCCGCACTGCGCGGATGAGGACCGTTGCTTGATTTCAGATCGGCCTCTCATTGCCGACATCATTATATCATGACCGGCCTCTCGGCATGGCATGATTATCTTATTTGAAGACCGGGCTCGTCCCCGCACTGCGCGGATGAGGACCGTTGTTTGGATTTCAGGTCGGCCTATCATTGCCGACATCATTATATCATGACCGGCCTCTCGGCATGGCACGATTATCTTATTTGAAGACCGGGCTCATCCCCGCGATGCGTGGATGAGGACCGTTGCTTGATTTCAGGTCGGCCTCTCTTTGCCGACACCATTATATCACGACCAGCCTCTCGGCGCGGCGTGTTTATCCTTTGAAGACCGGCCTTGTCCCCGCCCCTCGCGGACGAGGACCATTGCTTGATCCTTTCAGGACCGACTACTCAGCGACACTATGATCATTTTCGGCTCCCGATGCCGACCTTCTTGAGTTAGCGATCGGGCTCACCCCTCCCCTCCAGGAGGGTGACCATCGCCTTCGCATGACGACCAGCATTTCCATCGCCTCGTCATCCGCTTCATGTTGGTATCCCACCACCATTACGTGTGACATCACTGGTGGTCATTCTTGGAAACCGACGAACGTATTTTCCTCCCTCAAAAAAAAAAGATGGGGAGAAGGGGAGACGAGATCCTATGAGAGAGGGAGTCTTGACGAGGTATGCCTGATCTTCCTTCGCCGCGTATGACGAACGTCTCCCGACGCGGAGGCTAGTAGGAACGTGGGGGGGGGGGGGGGGGGGGCTAGACGTACCAAAGGGAACCTCGGCAAGATAAACCAGTTCCTCCCATGACCCGTGGTTCGACGAACACCTTCTGCCAGAGCAGAGGGCTAGTAGGGCCACAAGCATGGGACGACGAAGCAGGGAATCCCGACGTGGATAAACCGGTTCCTCCTTGCGATCGTTGGATGACCGAACGTCTTCTTCGAAGTAAGAAGATTAGTAGGACCACGACAGGGACGAACGAAGAATAGGGAATCCCGACGTGGATAAACCTGTTCCTCCTTGCGATCGTTGGATGACCGAACGTCTTCTTCGAAGTAAGAAGGTTAGTAGGACCACGACAGGGACGAACGAAGAATAGGGAATCCCGGCGTGGATAAACCTGTTTCTTCTCATAGTTGGGATGACGAACGTCTCCTGCGAAACCAGGAGACCAGTACTCACGAGACTTAGGAAGAGCAAAGACCGAGTTCTCCACCGGAGTCTGTTGCGTGCCGAGTGTACACCGCTTAGCGGTCCATACATAGGACCACGGATACGGTAGACGAACGAAGACCAGCTCCAGGGATCAGACACGAAGGACCAGTTCTCCACCAGAGTCTGTTGCGTACCGAGTGTACACCGCTTAGCGGTCCGTACATAGGACCACGGATACGGTAGACGAACGAAGACTAGCTCCTCAGATCAGATAGGAGGGACATCACCCAGATTTATTTCAGGCTCACCATTCCTTCCCGGATGGAGTCCTGGCAGACGATCGGCTTCTCACAGCCAATCAGGAGAGAGACTTGACACATCACCAGCACGGCCGAGGGCCTTGAGACGATTATCACTCACCGATAGGCCGAGGGCCATGAGATGATCATCACTATTCTTATGCATCACGATCGGCCCCTCAGCGCCATCGTGTCCATACTCACGATTCGGCTCGCCCATTCCCTCCAGGGTGGCGACGAACGTCTTATGCATCACGATCGGCCCCTCAGCGCCATCGTGTCCTGATTCACGGTTCGGATCGCCCATTCCCTCCAGGATGGCGACAACCGTCTTATGCAGTATGATCGGCCCCTCAGCGCCATCATACCCAGCTCACGTTCAGCTCATCCATCCCTTCCAGGATGGCGACGAACGTCTTATGCATCACGATCGGCCCCTCAGCGCCATCGTGTCCTGATTCGCGGTTCGGATCGTCCATCCCTCCAGGATGGCGACGACCGTCTTATGCAGTACGATCGGCCCCTCAGCGCCATCGTATCCCGCTCACGATCGGCTCGTCCATCCCTTCCAGGGTGGCGACGAGCGTCTTATGCATCACGATCGGCCCCTCAGCGCCATCGTGTCCAGATTCACGGTTCGGCTCGCCCATTCCCTCTAGGATGGCGACGACCGTCTTATGCAGTATGATCGGCCCCTCAGCGCCATCATACCCAGCTCACGTTAGCTCGTCCATTCCCTCCAGGATGGCGACGAACATCTTATGCATCACGATCGGCCCCTCAGCGCCATCGTGTCCTGATTCACGGTTCGGATCGCCCATTCCCTCCAGGATGGCGACGACCGTCTTATGCAGTATGATCGGCCCCTCAGTGCCATCATACCCAGCTCACGTTCAGCTCGTCCATCCCTTCCAGGGTTGCGACGAACGTCTCGTGCATCACGATCGGCCCCTCAGCGCCATCGTGTCCTGATTCACGGTTCGGATCGCCCATTCCCTCCAGGATGGCGACGACCGTCTTATGCAGTATGATCGGCCCCTCAGCGCCATCATACCCAGCTCACGTTAGCTCGTCCATTCCCTCCAGGATGGCGACGAACGTCTTATGCATCACGATCGGCCCCTCAGCGCCATCGTGTCCTGATTCGCGGTTCGGATCGTCCATCCCTCCAGGATGGCGACGACCGTCTTATGCAGTACGATCGGCCCCTCAGCGCCATCGTATCCCGCTCACGATCGGCTCGTCCATCCCTTCCAGGGTGGCGACGAGCGTCTTATGCATCACGATCGGCCCCTCAGCGCCATCGTGTCCAGATTCACGGTTCGGCTCGCCCATTCCCTCCAGGATGGCGACGACCGTCTTATGCAGTATGATCGGTCCCTCAGCGCCATCATACCCAGCTCACGTTAGCTCGTCCATTCCCTCCAGGATGGCGACGAACGTCTTATGCATCACGATCGGCCCCTCAGCGCCATCGTGTCCTGATTCGCGGTTCGGATCGTCCATTCCCTCCAGGATGGCGACGACCGTCTTATGCAGTATGATCGGCCCCTCAGCGCCATCATACCCAGCTCACGTTCATCTCGTCCATCCCTTCCAGGGTGGCGACGAACGTCTCGTGCATCACGATCGGCCCCTCAGCGCCATCGTGTCCTGATTCACGGTTCGGATCGCCCATTCCCTCCAGGATGGCGACGACCGTCTTATGCAGTATGATCGGCCCCTCAGCGCCATCATACCCAGCTCACGTTAGCTCGTCCATTCCCTCCAGGATGGCGACGAACGTCTTATGCATCACGATCGGCCCCTCAGCGCCATCGTGTCCGGATTCACGGTTCGGATCGCCCATTCCCTCCAGGATGGCGACGACCGTCTTATGCAGTATGATCGGCCCCTCAGCGCCATCATACCCAGCTCACGTTCAGCTCGTCCATCCCTTCCAGGGTGGCGACGAACGTCTTATGCATCACGATCGGCCCCTCAGCGCCATCGTGTCCTGATTCACGGTTCGGATCGCCCATTCCCTCCAGGATGGCGACGACCGTCTTATGCAGTATGATCAGCCCCTCAGCGCCATCATACCCAGCTCACGTTAGCTCGTCCATTCCCTCCAGGATGGCGACGAACGTCTTATGCATCACGATCGGCCCCTCAGCGCCATCGTGTCCTGATTCACGGTTCGGATCGTCCATCCCTCCAGGATGGCGACGACCGTCTTATGCAGTACGATCGGCCCCTCAGCGCCATCGTACCCAGCTCACGTTCAGCTTGTCCATTCCCTCCAGGATGGCGACGAACGTCTTATGCATCACGATCGGCCCCTCAGTGCCATCGTGTCCTGATTCGCGGTTCGGATCGTCCATCCCTCCAGGATGGCGACGACCGTCTTATGCAGTACGATCGGCCCCTCAGCGCCATCGTATCCCGCTCACGATCGGCTCGTCCATCCCTTCTAGGGTGGCGACGAGCGTCTTATGCATCACGATCGGCCCCTCAGCGCCATCGTGTCCAGATTCACGGTTCGGCTCGCCCATTCCCTTCCAGGATGGTGACGAACGTCTTTATGCAGCACGATCAGCCTCTCAGCGCCATCGTGTCTGGCTCATGTTCGGCTCGCCCATCCCTTCCAGGGTGGCGATGAACGTCTCTTATGCAGCACAATCGGCCCCGCCGTGCCATTGTGTCGGGTTCATCTCCGGATTGCCCATCCCTTCTAGGATGGCGACGACCATCTTATGCAGCACGTCTGCCTCTCGGCGCTGACATGCCCGGGTTTTCGATGAGAGCCACCGCTTTCTATCACATCTCACATTCCTTCTCTCATACATTGCACCCATACATTACATGCATTCATGCATTCATGCATCATACCTCATACATTCATACATACACACGTGCATCATGTTTTGACAGTACCGCGACATCGGTTTATAGATGCATGGACCTTAAGCTTCTCCGATTGGAAAGCTCGAGTCAGAGTGCTTTACTCCCGCCTAATGCATTCAGGGGGAGTGTGCCCGTGGAGGAGCACCCTTCGCCCGACCCTGTCGGGAAGGGGGGTGCCTCACGGGTAGATTACGTTCAGGAGTGTGGACATCCACTCATATATTATGATTATTCGAAGACACAGGTTCCAGCTAGACAGAGGCAGAGCGCAGGCAAGAATATACTTTCTCGAGCAGATTCGCGCACTCACTACTCAAGAAACTGGGGGACTTGTGTTGGGATATATTATCCCGGCCTATTACTGTTCAGGGGCCCAAGACATTATCCAGTACGGAGCCCGAGCAGCTAGGCCCATTTCGGCCCATTAGGCCCGATATTGGCCCGTTTGGCCCATTAGGGTGGAGAGCACCCTTTCCCTTTGTCTATAAATAGGGAGCTTAGCCTCCATATTATGGATCCCTTTTTGATCCTTTTCTTCTTCCTCCTTCTCACTAGAATAGCTTAGAACTCCATTAATGGGAGCTTCAATACTTGTACTATGTAATGGTGAGGAGAGTCTAATGAGAATTGAGAGGGCTTGGACATTAGCCTAAAAAGTCCCGTGGTTTTCTCCCTTTCGGGTTTCCACGTAAAAACTGAGCTTGTTCATACACATTTATACATATATTTACTATATCGTGTTGGATTAAACTCAACATTCTTCATCTCCTTCTTCTTCTTCTTCTTCCACTTTCTTCCTTCACCATCTCTGTTTTAATTATGTGTATCTTCCCAAAAAAAGAGATCCTGAAGATACATCAGCGGATAAGGCAGGGAGTGATTTGATTAGATTATCTTGTGAATTGTTACCAAATTATTTTCATGTGCGCAATTCGTCTTTAATTTTTATTTATGAAGATGATGAAACCTCTCATTTTGGGCATATCCGCAATTCGTTTTTGATTTTTATTTTACTTCATAATCCCAATCATTTTTTTATTTAATTTTGAACTTGATTAGTTTATTTATGATTAATTTTAACTCCCAAAGTTTCAAAATTGTGGTGTTATTTTTTGAGTAATCACAAATGATTTGAACATTGATTTCAATCTAATATTATTTATATGACATTACATTTAGGAAGATGGCAATTTTTTACCTTGACATGACAATATTGTCCATCTTTCGTATTTTTATAATTATAAAAATGGCAAATATTGCTTATAAGGATAATAAGATGGCATTATTACTTTTTACCTTGATATGACAATATTGTCCATTTTTGTATGTTTTACAAGGATAGTAACGGCCTGTTTGGATTGAGTGTTGAGGAGTGTTAGTAATGGAAGTGTTCGTAAGTGTTGATGCTAACACTTGTTTGGGAGAAAAAACCAGAGGTGTTAAGAAGTGTTAGTAATGGTTAGGAAGTGTTAATAATAACCTCCCCAACACCTCAATTGTCCATTTTTTTAACACCCCGATTTGGAGTGTTTTGAGGTGTTGGACAATTATTACCCTTCTCATTTGCCCGAAAAACATAAAATGCTTCGACATTTCACTTCGAATGTCTTTCCCACAGGTCTGATGGTTTGTTTTTTCATCCCTTCTCTTTACTCTTTCTTTACTCTTTCTTTAACACTTCCATTATTAACACTTCATTCATTTGACTCTCCCAAACAAGGTAAAATTATGTCTAACACTTACACTTCCCTTTCCTTCCGAGCCCTTACTAACACTTACTAACACTTCCATTACTAACACTTCCAAACACTCCATCCAAACAGGCCCTAAGATGACATGGCAATTTCTTCTACTCTTCTTTCCAGATAAGAGATCTAAACTTGGAGTGGTTACTCCATATAAAGTTGCAGCCGATGTTGTAGAGTATGTTGGAAGTGCAGATGAGTGACACCGGAGTGGGATTAGGAGTATGTTGGAAGTGCAGATGAGTGACAACGGAGTTGGATTAGGTAGTGGTGACACCAGATGAGACATTGGCAATGGGCGGTTATGCCGGTAGAGCCTGAGATATTGACGGCGATGGTGCCGGAGATGACGGCGGCGCCAGTAACGACGGACATGGCGGCAGTGCCAGAGATGGCAGTGGTGCCGGAGATGCCGGCAGCGTTATCAATACCGGAGATGGCTACTGCCCTGTGCGAAGCATATGTCGTGTATTGTGCGTTGCCTCTTTTATTAATAATATAGGAATCAACTTTTTATTAAGGGTATATTTGTCTCTTACCATTAAATTCCGCGTGCCAAACTAAAAGGTGGGACAGGACTCCTATTTTTGCATTGTTGATATGTTTTACTCCTAAAGTGAGAATTCTCTCTTTTGAATACCTTTTTTTTGTTAAAAAAAACAAAAATTACCAAAACCGTAGTTACGGAATTAAAATACGGAGAATAAAAACGCATTAAAAAATAGCATAAGGGAGGACCTCGAAGATTGGAAAGAATAGATGATGAGTCAGCTTCATCGGAAGTTGAGTGAAAGGGAAGCAGTTTTTCTCTGAGTGTAGAGAGTTTCTGGGTGAGGCCTTCAACTGCCAAAGGCTCTAGAGCGAGTTGAACACCGCCACCGGCCGGCTGGAGATTGACGGCACAAAGGGCGAGACGCTCGATGATTGGCGACCAGATGTCGGCCCTCTTCTTCCCCGCCGGCGTTTGTTGGCCGTCTACCAGGAAACACTTCATCCATGACAGTTCAATCAACAGGTCGTCGACCGCGCAAGGGAGGTACTGGTTAAGCTCGTCGTTCAACATTGAGAGAGCCTCATCTACAGCGGCTATGGCCATTTCTGTCGCTAGTTGCATTTTGGTTTATTTGAAGCCAAGGCGCCGAGTCCTGAATTTGGTTGCATCCAGGGGAACAGAGATAAATTTCGGCCTTTTAATTTACGTGAGTTAAAAAAAAGTATCGTACTTACTATTCACATGATTGGTCCAAATCATTATATCATTGTTAATTTAGATTTAAATATGGTACCTTTTGAGTATCATAGAATCTACTCCCCTTTAATTTATTGACTATGCAATGTTTTCTTCCTTGTGAGAATTATTAAGAAAAAACTACTACGTATTATCTGTGTATCTAAACAATTTCAGTTAATATATAGTACTACCTCCGTCCCACAAAGAGTTGCAAATTTGACTTTTCTTAGTCAAACAATCTCGTTTTGTCCACTTAATTAGGATGTCAATTTTTAATTATTTTCTAATTTGAAATTTACAACTTTGAAGACATTTTAATGTAGTTTTTGAATATGTAAATTTTAATTATTAAAAATTGAATTAATTATCCATATGGAGGGTTGACTTTTATTATTGGTTGACCAAAAAATGTTGACTTTGCAAAACAAATTGAGACGGAGGGAGTATTATGTATACACAGTACACACAATTACGTACAAATGTATGCGCAAGGTGACAAATTTTAAGTACTTCAAAAATTATTGAATTAGTAATTATAGTGTAACTAATTCTTCAAAATCAGGAGTTGAAAAAATGAAACACCAAAATGAACAACGGATCCGGTTTGGAAAATGTTAGCGATGCCGATCAAATATATAACGCGACTTGCACAAGTCAAAGTTGGAAACAATTTCTTCAAGGCATGTTTGAGTGTTTGGAAGGACGGAAAACTAAAGAATTTGAAGTATATTGTTGGAAAGGAAAAGAAAGGAATGTGGAGAAACACTTCTTCATATGGTTGTAATTAATTTGGAAGAAGAATCTTTAAAAGAGTTATAATTATAATCTTTAAATAATTTAAATGGTACTCATTTGATATTTAAGGTTAAATTATCTATTCATTAATTAATCTTCAAAACTTTCCAAATTATGTGAACTTAAAAATTTGGCATTGGAGTGTTAGTTTTAGAGGGTTACAAAAGCCCATAAATTATCTAGGTCCTTCAATATGTTAGACACCAAACATGCATGAAAAGAATGATGATAAACCTCATTCACATTCCCCTCATCTACAAATGTCACTCCCAAATATACCCTTAGGACCCTCTGTTCGGTATGACTAGTGTTTTTAAATTTTAAGTATTCAATCTTTTCCTTAAATATAAAACAAAATATTTCCGTAGAACTGAATTGAAGTTGCTTCCGTTTCCCGACATCATTGTAGAACGAAGTGTTTTTTGAAAATATGACATTTTTCCCAAAATAAGACCAATTAATTAAAACATTCTTAGATAGAATTTTTGATGTATGCTTCGACGCTAAAAGTCATTTTTATTTTTTGCACCCAGGACCTTTTTGCGTCGACAAAAGTGGACGCAAAAGATAAATCTTATTTGAGTCGACAAAAAGCGGACGCAAATAAACGTTTTGCGTCGAGCCATTAGCGTCGACACATTAGCGTCGACATGTTCACGCAAATAAAGTATTTGCGTCGACTTTGGGTCTTTTGTGTCGACGCAAAAAACGCTTTTTCTTGTAGTGCCTATTGTTGCCCCTAGACCCCGCCGCCGGAAAAATTCCCATGAATTTTCTCTGGAGGCCCGCCAACATTTCTCCTGCCGTCGCCAACGCTGCCGTCGGAGTTTGCCGCCGCCGGAATCTGCCGCTGGCCACTACCGGACTGCCTCCACTACGAATGGACTGCCTTGGTTGTGCAAGAGAACTAGGGGGACAATTAATTGAGTTAATTAATTTCCGGAGTTCGCCGCCGCCGCCGACCGGATGCCGGAGTACTGCTGCTGCCACGGATTGTCCCGCCACCGACTGCCTTGGTTTTGCAGGGAAACTAAGGGGACAATTATTTAGATCAATTCATTAATTAAATAGAATTAGGGGTAAAAAGGGTAAGTTTAGTCCTATTTAGGGAAAACCAAACATTAAGTCCTATTTTGGGAAAAAATCTATGTTGTTGTCTTAACCATGACAATTTTCTCATATCAAAACCACATTGTTACCTAGAATTGATACAACATATTAATACCTAGTATTAAGCTATGTTGTAAAACCCGAACCGGACCGGCCGGTTTGACCCGGAACCCGGTCAACCGGCCATCTATCCGGTCCGACTTAGTATCAACCCGCAAACAAGGTCAAAACCGGAACTAACCGTTGACCCGCTTGAACCTGGGACGGAAACGAACCAGCCTAAACTCTGAAAATTTAAAAAAACCGGAAAGAGTTCGCGGGTGAGATTTGATACACCCTGTGCTACAAATATAGATGCTGACCAGGGTGCTACACCCTGTAGTTGGAAATTATGGTTGTTTAGCTTCCCTTATACTATATCATCTTCGCATATACTCATTAAGTCTTTTTTTCTTGATTGTACTCATTAAGTCTTAAATCACTTAGTTTATTAATCTTTTATTTTATAATAAAAATACTTAAAAATACACATCAATACCATTATATACTCATGCTTATATTAAAAAATACTACTCCGTATCAGTTACTTTATTAAAGAATTCATAATAATAATAATAATAATAATAATAATAATGCATATACACTCATGCTTATATTACACACACACACACTTCCCATTATGCATACTCTGTATTATATTTCATATTTCTATTATATGTGAAAATATATTTCTATCATATATTTAAGATTTTGTAATTGATGCCATATCTATATATTTTATCCATCTACATCTAAACCTATTTTAATTTTTGTGAAAACCAACTCTAAAATAATGATTTCTTAATTGGATTATTGACGTGCACTTTGTCGTGAGTGCACTCAAAATAAATTCAATACTAACACTTATACGTAGTATAGCGTAGTAGAGTTCGTATCCACAGGGAAAGGAATAATTCTCTTTTTATAAAACTAGTAAATAAAAAGGGGGTTTTTGGAATTGAATGATTTAACTTAATTAAACATAAAGATGAACAACTTAATTTAAAGATAAAAAGGACTTGGCATTGCTACTTTCCACTTGTTGATATATTTTAGTCGATCATTGTTATATCTATAACTAATCCCCTCTCGAATACTCAATCGAGGAGTATATCCAATTCATCGAGGGTAGTTATTAACAACGACCGTTCATTAATAACCCTTACTATTAGTCATGTATAGAACACCGCCATATACCGACTTAATAGGAGCATTTAATCTCTTAACTCCTTGATGAAATCAATTGAGATTGATAACCTCAACACAACGGTTTCGGTTTAACCAACAAAATTAATCCCTCTTAAGTTTATTAACCACGACCGTGCATTAATAAACCGAAGTTACTTACTTGTGAAACCATCAACGATTAACCATCGGTTCGTTGATCGTTTCTAGTAGTAATTAATGTCGAGATGTTAACTAATTGTCATCTTAGCAACACTCCCGAACATTAATATAGAGATAGATTAAGGGAAGAATTAATATTCAAGGAAGAAGATTAAATATGAATAATCCTACTATAACTAATGTCAAGATGTTATCTAATTGTCATCTTAGCAACACTCCCCAACATTAATATATAGATAGATTAAGAGAATAATTAATATTCAAGGGAAGAAGTTAAGAAAATAACTCACAACTTTAATAATCAACAAGCTTCAAAAGCAACACCAAGAAATGGAAGTTTAGCTCCTCATTTGGAGACTAAACATGCTATAAAAATATAAAAGAAATACTATTCTAAACTGAGCTTAGGAGTATGGAAGAAGGAGTTGATCATTTGTGAAGGAAAATGGGGCTATTTATAGGTGTTTTTCAACACCTTTGGCCGGGTACCCGACCGGGTAAAGTGCCCACCCGACCGGGTGCATGTCAAAATCAAATATCTTCCACGTTCTGGCGATCTTCGGCACGTTCTGGTGTTCCGGGTCAAGTCGGACCCGACCGGGTGAAATACCTCACCCGACCGGGTGATGTAATTTCCTGAGCAGTTTCGCATTTAAATTTCTCACCCGACCGGGTGCAATACCTCACCCGACCGGGTGATTGTCCTGGGCAGCCAAGAATTATTTTTCTTCACATTCAAAGTCTTCCTTTCCAACACCATAAATCCTAACTCTACTTTACAACTTACAAATGAGAACTAAAATACAATTACAACTAAAATCACACAAATGTTTATAAACTAAATAAAATGGTAAACAATCCACACAAATCAAACATAAAAAGACACATTTATGCACTACTAATTAGTGCATATCAAACACCCCCACACTTGAACCTTTACTCGTCTCGAGTAAACCAAATCCAGTCCAAGAAGTCCTTAAATTGACAAGAGTATCAACACCAACATCCACGTGTGTTTTTAGAACAACACAAAAAATATCCCCCAAAATATAACAGTAAAGAGGGGTCTTTAACTCCATATTTCTTATCAACCTCATTTTTTTTTTCGTTACCCTTAGGATCCTGCAGAAAAGAAAATACTTTCTCTCATTCTCTCATTTTGCCTAGGTGCCCTTTCGGGTTTTCATCCCAGCTTCCCACATTTTTCTGTTTCAATCCTCACAACTCACTCTTATTTTTGCTTTATTTTTGCTTAAGTTGCCCTTTCAGGTTTTTAACTTCACAACTTTTTTTTTTAAAAAAAAAACAAGAATAAAGAGTATGAATGTGAAAATTCCATAAAACTCTCCCCCCCCAAGCTAATCAAAGCACTATCCCTAGTGCTTGTGTATGAATGCGGTTTTTTTTTTTTTGGACTTTTGGGAGGTTTTGTTGGTGATTTGTGGGTGTGGAGATGAAGAGGGTGAAGAGGAGATGAATGAATTGGGTTTACTTGATGCATTTGGTGGATGGATGTAGGAGATATGAAGCTTTGGACTCTTGGAAATGGAGGAAATTTGGGGTTCGGTTCGAATGGGGAAAAGAAAGTGAGGAAGAAAGCTGCCCGCCCGCCTCCTGATCGGGATTTTTCCCGACCGCCCGGCCGGGTATAGTGAATGACCCGGTCGGGCGTAAACTGTTCACCCGAGGCAGAGAGTTTTTTGCAGGGTTGCCCGGCCGGGTACCCGGTCAGGTGTGTCTATTTTTCTCTGTTCCTCAGCTGCCTCGCCCGGGCGAGTTGTGCGGGTATGGTATTTTTACGCTATACCCGACCGGGTGTAGTGTGGTATCCGGCCGGGTATGTTCCCCAAGCTTCACTTTTTTTTTTTTTTTTTTTGAAGTGT